CATGTTGTATAACCATAACATTTTGTTACTGTTATGAATCGTAATGTAAATATCAGATATGCAGGATGTATTTTCATTCACTGGACCAAATTTGGCACAAATACCCAATATGCCCAAGTTTGAATACTGATGGGGTTGTGGGGTGGGACTGATTTTGTCATTTGGGAGTTGTAGTTGCTGGGATTTATAGTTCACCTACAATCAAAGAGCATTCTGAACTCCACCAATAATGGAATTGAACCAAACTTGGCACACAGAACTCCCATGACAGAAAATACTAGAAGGGTTTGGTGGGCATTGACCCTGAATTTTGGAGTTATAGTTCACCTACATCCAGAGAGCACTGTGGACTCAAACTCAAACTTGGCATGACTACTCAATATGCCCAAATGTGAACAATGGTGGAGGTTGGGGGAAACAGACCTTGACATTTGGGAGCTGTAGTTGCTGGGATTTATAGTTCACCTATAAACAAAGAGCATTCTGAACCCCACCAATGATAGAATTGGGCCAAACTTCCCACATAAAACCCCCATGACCAACAGAAAATACTGTGTTTTCGATGGTCTTTAGTGATCCCTCTGACACCCCCTTGTGACCCCCCCCCCCCCAGGAGTCCTGACTCCCAGGTTGAAAAACAAATTGCCCAGGTCCTTTTTGAAATCTTGGCCTTAATCCTGACACAAAGAATAAGTTTTCCTGTATATGTGTTGTGTTGATAATTTTGTGCTTATGTTTTCTGCTTACTTTGTATGTTCTTGTGTTTTTACCATTTGGAAACGGTCCTGAGCCTCCTCGGGGAGATAGAGCGTATAAGGAGGAGATAGAGTGTATAAGCAGTATGTTTCCCATACTGCTTATACACACATTTTAAGTAATTTTGTGCAGGAAACAAAGTTTATGTATCCTGAACCATCAGAAAGCAAAGGTGTCACTATCTTATCCATCCATGTAGATACGAGGGTTGAATGAAAAGTAATGCCTCCACCTTCGTAACTCCTCAACAGATGGCAGTACTGGTATGCGGCAGGTACTGGCTTGTTCAGTAGACTCTCCTCTACAGTTCCATTTTGGCAGGAAGCCATAGCATTGAATGGTTGTGTTGTTAAAGTGTGAAGTATGGAACCCTGTGCAGATGGTCAGTCAGTGTGACTTAAGCAACGTGCTGTCATTGAATTTTTGAGAGCAGAAGTGTCACCCTGAAGGAGATTCTTCAGAGAATGCAAGCTGTTTATGGTGATTGTGTTGATGTGAGTACTGTGCATCATTGGGCGAGTAAGTTTAAAGATGTTGAGGTGGGAACAACTGACTTGCATGACAAACAAAGAGTTGGACATCCTGTGACAACAACCACCGAGTTTCACAAGCAAAAGGTTGACAGATTCAGGATGATTGTCATATCACTCAGAGAGAAATTTCCAGAATAATCAGCATTTCACAAGAACGTGTGGGTCACATTATTGCTTTGCTTGGCTATCAGAAGATCTGTGCACAATGGGTTGCGGAAACAGAGTGTCAACTTCTTCCGTGACAGCTTCAGAAAACTTGTTCATTGTGGGCAGAAATCTATCCAATTGTCTGGTGATTATGTGGAAAAGTGAATAGTGGTAGTTAAAAAGCAAATTCTAAGTATTATTTCTGCATTTGATTTATTTATTTATTTGTCGTGTCAGGGCAACCAGTCCATTATATTACATTTCTAACAGAACAAAGCAAACAAACAGACAAATACAAAACTTGTGAGTTTGGTAGTTGGTTAGATGTCCTTTGACCAGTATCTGGCCACTTGGAGTGCTTCTGGTGTTGCTGCAAGGAGGTCCTCCATTGTGCATGTAGCAGGGCTCAGGTTGCATTGCAGCAGGTGGTCAGTGGTTTGCTCTTCTACACACTCGTATGTCGAGGATTCCACTTTGTAGCCCCATTTCTGAAGGTTGGCTCTGCATCTCGTGGTGCCAGAGCGCAGTCTGTTCAGTGGCTTCCAGTCTTCTGTGTGCCCAGGAGGAGTCTCTCATTTGGTATCAGCCATTGGTTGAGGTGCTGGGTTTGAGCCTGCCACTTTTGGACTCTCGCTTGCTGAGGTGTTCCAGCGAGTGTCTCTGTAGATCTTAGAAAACTATTCTAGATTTAAGTCGTTGACGTGCTGGCTGATACCCAAACAAGGGATGAGCTGGAGATGTCTCTGCCTTGGTCCTTTCACTATTGGCTGCTACTTCCCGGCGGATGTCAGGTGATGCAATACCAGCTAAGCAGTGTAATTTCTCCAGTGGTGTAGGGCGCAGACACCCCATGATAATGCGGCATGTCATTTGATTTATTAAAATATTCCCATCCAAACCCAAGTAACAAAGGTGGAGGCATTACTTTTCATTCAACCCTCGTAATTCTGGATTTTGGAATATTTTGGATTTCAAATAAAGGATGCTCAACCAGTAATGCAAATCTGAAAATCTCAGAAAAGTTCTACTAAACCAGACATGGGCAAACTTCAGCCCTCCAAGTGTTTTGGACTTCAACTCCCACAATTCCTAATGGCTCCAGACCCTTTCCTTTTACCCGCTCAGCTGCTTAAGGCGTTTTGGACTTCAATTCCCACAATTCTTAACAGCCTCAGGTCCCTAAGGCTTAAATGGCTGAGGTGGAAATGAAAGGGGCCTGAGGCTGTTAGGAATTATGAGAGTTGAAGTCTAAAGCACCTGGAGGGCCAAAGTTTGCCCATACCTGTACTAAACAAAGATATAGGATGCATCTGTGTCAAAATTCTGTAGTATCTCCTTAACTTCAACTACTGCACATTCAGGATCAAATGAGAAAAAAGTGAGTTACAATACAAGAGTAAAAGCCTCTTCCTAGTCTTGAGATTGTAAGAACTGTAAGATGCAATGCATTACAGGAGATAAAAGGCAAATGACTTGTCATAAGCATAAGAGTAATTGGCTCCTGGTCTCTTTTTTAAGGCAAAAGTAACAAGTAAACGTCTTAAATTACACAAGATGTTCCAATGTTTTAAAAGTTGGCCAAGTGTACTGAGTTTTTACATTTTACACCAAAAGCAAATCTTTCAACTCTAATCTGATGATAAAAATTAATTTCCTAAAGTAGGTGTTTTCACACAGACCTGCCATGTGAAAAAACAATATATCTACACAACTCTACAGGGAAGCAGCCTGGGTGTCTGTCAGTGTCTGTTTAGAAGAACTTCAAACACTCGAATCAAAAATATTTGAAATGGGGGAAAAACACATACACACCTTGCGATAAAGAAATAAAAGCTCCCATTTTGCTTTTGAAGGGATATCACCTGTCAGCAATCGTTTTCATTGTTCTTTTTCCCTTCAAAAATTCATTTAAAAGCACTTATAAAACTTTCATTCATAAAACTTACAAATACGTTGGATGGAATTTTTAAATAGATGTTGTATGGTTTCTCAGATGTGCCACACCTTTCTGCCTCAGAGAAGACAGGTTTACATGCTGTCTTTTAAACATGTTTCCCTTAAACGATCAATGGTAGATAATGCTTTTTCAAAGTAATTATTAAACAGTGTTTATAAATAATTAATAATAATAATACATTTAATAAATTTAATAAATAATAAATAATAATAAACTCCCACCTTGGACATTATCCCACAGATATATAAAACCCACTTGCCTAGTTTCCAAAAGACCTCTCAACCTCTGTGGATGCTTGCCATAGATGTGGGTGAAACATCAGGAGAGAATGCTTCTGGAACATGGCCATGCAACCCAGAAAATACACAGCAGCCAAGTTGGGAGATAATCAAAATGTGTGTATTTGTGATCAAAAAGTTAAAATAAATGAAGAAGATAATTAATTGTTTCTATATAAAATATACAATGTTAGCGAGAGTGGTCCACAAGTCATAAATCAGAAGCTGAAGAACTATAGACTAACAAAAAGTCTTAACAGACTAACAAAAAGTCTGAAACTAGACATGTTTTGACAATGGTCTTCCTCAATTGCCAACAAAACACTACAATATTTTCCTCAATTATTTCCTTCAGAGTGAGCCTGATGTATTAGTTTTTTTATTTAAAAAAAACCCCACATAAATATATTTATGTTAAAATATATGCAGAAAATCAACTTGAAAACGGCATGAAAACAGTACTTATTTATCACATCAGTATAAAATTCTTAGAAGGTAAAAGTGAACATGGTTCATGGCTCAAAACTATATGCTAACGCTCAGAGGTTCTGTTGACATAGAGAGCATTTTGCCATGACCTACATGTCTCATTTGTCATAAATTACCATCAAAGCTAGAATCGAGTTTTATATTTAGGGTCAATGGACCCTCAAAGCTGGCAAAGACCTTCCAAAAAAAGCACGTTTGCAGTGCAAACATCAATAAAATTGGAGTATACAATGTCACCCACAAGTGAGTTAGGAGAGTTATGCAATAGAGAGTATTCTTCTGTGTCTTCTGTGCGTCTCCAGAGCACTGTAGATCACTGGAAAAGGAATATGGTGCCCTTATAGTCTTCCTATAGTTTTGGCTAGATCTCTTATTGCTTCTGTCGACAGGGAGCACTCTCTAGAACACTTCCAGCATTATTATTTGACATCCATCAAATTTGGCTGACCATGATACAATAAATAGATTGTACCATTGAGCTGCTGATAGTACAACAGACAGATTGAAATCTTATCATGACCTCAAAAGTAAATCATATAAGACCAAAAAGTAATAAAGTGTTCAAGGTTTTCATGGCTGGAATCACTGGGTTGTTGTAGGTTTTTTGGGCTATATGGCCATGTTCTAGAAGCATTCTCTCCTGACGTTTCACCTGCATCTATGGCAAGCAGGAAGAGGACCTCACAACCTCCAGTATGCTTACTATAGATGCAGACGAAATGTCAGAAGAGAATGCTTCTAGAACATGGCCATATAGCCCGAAAAACCTATAACAACCCAATAAAGTGTTTCTTGTTTGGACAAATTATTTCAATCATAATCTTTCTGCTTTCTTTTTAGTCAATAATCTTTATTCGGGATCGCAATGCCCGTGGTCAAGAGGTATCTGCATACATTGACTATGCACACCGGCTGAAAGTGGATGAATTTGAGGTCTACTTCAGTGGGAAGAAGAGGCTTTTCCCCAGGCGCACTGATATGAGGTTACAGCTCATTTTCCTTCCATGTATAAAATGAGATATACAGAGTTCTTCACTGGCATGTATGGAATGATGCTTCTTTGGAGGGAGAGTATTCTGGAGCTTAGAGACCATGTCTTTCTTACTCTGTTTTCCTGAAAATAAGACATACTCATAAAATAAGCCGTAGCAGGATTTCTAAGCATTTGCGTAACATAAGCCTTACCCCAAAAATAAGACATAGTGATAGCCATGGCTATGCAGTGTACAAGGTAAGTTCCCCGTCAGGTCCCAGCCATTCTGTGCATGCTGCAAGCTGAGGCATAGAAGGAGACATAGAAAGTGAAAGTACAAGTCTTCTCAGTGAAGTGAGGAGCAGGGCGCTCTGCTTTAGGTATTGCGTTTCCTCAGGGGAAAGAAGTAAAGCTGTGGCTGCCATTTTACTCAGCACTGTGGGTCTCTCTCCTCCAGCACCAACCAGCATCGGTCTGTGGGTCTCTCTCATCCCACACAACCACAAGTAAAGCTGCTGCTCCACAGCACTGACCAGCAACAGTCTATGGTTCTCTCTCACCCCACACTGCCGCCGGTGGCGCAGTGGGTTAAACTCCTGTGCCGGCATGACTGAAGACCGACAGGTCGCAGGTTCGAATCCAGGGAGAGGCAGATGAGCTCCCTCTATCAGCTCCAGCTCCTCATGCAGGGACATGAGAGAAGCCTCCCACAAGGATGATAAAACATAAAATCATCAGGCAACGTCCTTGCAGACGGCCAATTCTCTCACACCAGAAGCGACTTGCAGTTTCTCAGGTCACTCCTGATACAAAAAAAAAATCCCACACAAATACCAGGGAATAGGGGAAAAGCTTCAGCAAGCAATCTGTTACTGAGCCCAGATTTACTTACTTACTTACTTACTTACTTTATTTGTATACCACCCTTCTCAGCCTTCCGGCAACTCGAGGCGTTTTACAAGGCAAAAATTCAATGCCACATAAACACAAGTACAATTTATCATCCCATAAATGCATATTGTTGTCCCATACTTAATAAAAATAAGACATCCCCTTATATTTATTTTTCTTGAGAAAAAAATACATATAAGACAGTGTCTTATTTTTGGGGAAACACAGTATTCACAAAATAACTTCAGATAGCTATGAAGTATGATAAGTCCTAACTAAATGAGTAGGTCTTCAAAAATGTTCATTCACGTGTCTCATGAAATCTCTGGCTGTACTATACTTCGGACTAATAATAGCATTTAGCCCACTGTCTTCTTCACTAATCTTTAAAAATAGTCTCATATGGGGACAGACATTCTTGCAAGTCTTGTTTTAAGTTGCAAAAGTTTTTAACATAACATTTTTATTTCATTAAGAAGCTAAACTGTCAACAGTATGATTAGATGTATATACAGTTATAATGTAGGTGAGAGTGTGTCATAATGATCAGAAAGCTCTAAGATTGTTTTCAGACCTGTTTGTATATACCTTTGATGGTTTATAGCTTAATACGTGATTTGTGTGTACTGGAAAATACTGTTTGGAGTGTTGCATTCATTATAGAATATATGTATCTGTAAAGACTGTTGGACACACAATACTGCACTCCTCAAATGAAGGATGTGAAGTCATTTTGCATGATCTCAAACCCAACCAAATGTCTGGTTATCAAGAGGCAATAGAAAGAGAAAGACTTCTGCAGATCATTTGTACATCAGATCCAGTTTTGTTTGTTGAGTCATCAGAAAAATAGATTTTCACAAAAAAGGGCAGGCATCTGAAATTTTTTTCTATGTTCCTTTGCTTCCCAGACCTAGAGTAATAAAATAATAGAGTTGGAAGAGACCACATGGGCCATCTAGTCCAACCCCTTGCTACCTTGCTATCTCTAGGTAAAGGTAAAGGTTTCCCCTGACATTAGGTCTAGTCATGTCTGACTGACGGGTGGTACTCATCTCCATTTCTAAGTCGAAGAGCCAGCGTTGTTCGTAGACACCCCCAAGGTTATGTGGCCAGCATGACTGCATGGAGCACCGTTACCTTCCTGACTGAGCGGTACCTATTGATCTACTCAGATTTGCATGTTTTCAAACTTCTAGGTTGGCAGAAGCTGGGGCTAACAGGGGGAACTCACCCCACTCCCCAGATTCAAACTGCCAACCTTTTCATCTGCAAGTTCAGCAGCTCAGCAGTTTAATCCACTGTGCCACCAAATCAGGTAGATGGTGAATGCAGTATATGTAAGAAACTACATTTAGATGTAAGTTCTTCAGCTAGTCCGGAGAGGTTCACCATACAAGTCACTTTGGACAGGGGGTAAATAACCTCAGGAGGTATAACCTTCTTCTGTGTAAAAGCCTAATGTGCTGCTGTACCCTGATATTATCCATCCAATAGAATACTTTGTGGTTAATCCACCTCTTTCCCATAAGGGTTCCACATCCAGCAATATATCATTGATGTCAAGAAGCCAGAAAAAATAACTGTAATGATAAGAACCTTCAAATTTAGATATAAGTCCTTGGACATGAGCAGGCCCGTAGCCAGGATTTTGATTGGGGGGGGGGGGCTGAGTTTGTTTGGGGGGGGGCTGAGTCTGAGTGAAAGAGGGTCTACCCTAGCAAACCTTTTGTATCATTACCCCAATACCCACATGCATATGGAATATATTGAGCATGGTGATCAGATCATGATATGAATAAACATAACAGTTGAAATAATGTACCAGTAAGGCCTTCTCACAGACCACCATGAGAATTTCGGGGGGAGGGGGGTTGAACCCCCCCCCCCCCCCCCCCCCCCCCCCCCCCCGCCCGCCCCGGCTACATGCCTGGACATGAGATATCACTGCAAAGACTATTAAGCATTAAAATGACCCTGTTTCCTTGAACCAAAATCATAAGGATTTGTATTCCATGTGATTGTTGCAGCTGAAATGCTTCATCTGTTGGCCTGTGCTGCAACTCATATGTCTCCTTCATCCAGCCATGTCATATCCAAATGACAATGAAAACAACAATGATCCCATTTGGCTAAGTATTGCTATCCCTACTGTAAAAAGTGTTGTTATCCTCTTTCAGCTTGCATGCCTTGAGTTGGAATAGCTGAAGGCATTTATGAACTACTTCACTAAATGTGAAACTTCTTATCTTTCTAACGTATGTCTTAGTCTTAGCAGCCAACAGCGGGGCACAAGATAACAACTCCCTCTTTGCATTCTCACTTAATTGCTTCTTTTTTGTCATACCAAGATTAAAGAGAAATCAAGCACAAACGTTTAACACCCCTGCAGTGCTGACTTAAATTTGGAAGGTGTTTCGTTTCGCTTCTTGCTAGCCAGGCACTTGCCTGGACTCATTTCTCATTATTTTGTCAGTAGTGCCACTGCTTGACATGTTAATATGGGTTGGTTTTCTCCTTCCTTCTGTGTGTCATACACACACAAAGAGTTATCACTTGGCAACAAAGCTGAACAAGCAAGCTTTACATATTGTGAATTTACCAAGTCTAATTACATGGCTCTAATAATATGTAAAAGCAATCATGACTCTATAATTTTCATGTTCCTTGGTGCCTCAGCTCTCAGGAATTAATTGTGAGGCTGCTTCTCCAGAAATAATTAACAAACAGCCAAGAATATCAGAGTAATATTAAACTGATAGCAGCAAGTGCATCCCTTTCAGCACAGATCTGTCCCAATGGCATATGAAATGGATCATATGTGGCTGAGATTAAGAGCAAAAAGTGTGTGTTATGACCCTTCCCATGAGTTGGTTCCACTTTGGTCACTTCACAAAGATGCTTCCAGTACTGAAGTACAGTTGAAAGACAAGCAGTATTGAAGAATAGACCACCAGCCATGAACAGTGAAAGAATGGATTCAGCAGGCATTTCATTCATAAAATTATGGATTGGGAAGAGACCACCAGAACCCTTAAAAATCTCTTTTCCATACATGTACCTTTTGAACCCTAGAACTGCTCCAGAAGCAGACATTTATTGCATGTTGTTGTATGCATCCCTGTTCTGCTTAATGTCTTTTAAACTCCCTTGCTGGTAAGTAAATAAACTTTTTTATGATCATAACAGGGGGACCCAGTTCCGCACATCCACGCCAAACCCAGGGGGTTATATACTTCAAACATCAACAATTTTTTAAATCTAGGTTAAAAACCACATACAAGTAGTTACTAAAACCCAACTCAATCCACAAGATCATCCAAAGGGAGTCTAAAGGGAGGTTGTGGGGATGGCACCGGGGTGGGGGGTGGGCGGGTATCCAACACTACATATATCAGCCTATATCTGATTTCCCATCAATATTCCATAGGTGAAGCTTAGGTCTTTTGACTCCCAATGATAATCTGCCAGATTTTAATCACAGCCACGCAAAACTTAGCGATATTGTATGTCACCGCCCAGTTTGTTTCTGAGAGCAGCAGGGCTATGTAAAATTGTCTAGAACAGGGGTCCTCAAACTAAGGCCCGGGGGCCGGATGCGGCCCTCCAAGCTCATTTATCCGGCCCTCACTTAGGGTCAACCTAAGTTAGAAATTATATGAAAGCACACAACAACAACAACGACAACAACAATCCTATCTCATCAGCCAAAAGCAGGCCCACACTTCCCATTGAAATACTAATAAGTTGATATTTGTCAAAATTGTTATTCATTTTAATTATTGTATTGTTTTAAAGTGTTTTTTTTTTGCATTACAAATAAGATATGTGCAGTGTGCATAGGAATTCATTCTTTTTTTTTTTTTTCAAATTATAATCCAGCCCTCAAACAGTTTGAGGGACTGTGACCTGGCCCTCTGTTTAAAAAGTTTGTGGACCCCTGGTCTAGAACATCTTGGGTATTTAATTGTGAGGGCGATCTAACTGTGACATCTGTCATCCCATTGATCCCCAGGGTTGATTTGGCTGATCTGGCAGGCTAGGCGGGTGTCCCCTTTCTCCCTCATCGCTCTATGTGCGTCCCTCCAGAAGCTGCACACTCAGTGGAAGAGGATGATG